TTCACTTCAGCGCCAGCAAATCACTAATCTTTTCAGCTCTGCTTGGACTGAACTGAATCAGCCCTGTTCCCTCATCTGCTGCGAAAATCCGTGGAAAAATTTCGTACCTGCCTGCCTTACCTCGACCGGCTGCTCCTTCCTTCCACCTACTTCTGGATCACCACTTTTGCCTCACACATTTCCCACACCCACCCTCACTCACAATCACTCACTTTTCTCCCCATCACTCAGCACTCACCAGTCTCTACTCTTTTTCTGCTTCTTCCATCGCACACTTCACACTTTACCCTTTACACTTTCTTTTCCTGACTGCTCAATACCGATCACTCAATACACTCATTCTTTCTCTTCAACTTCACACAAATCATCACGATGCGCTTTACTTCGGTCATCGTTGCTGCTGCGGCTGCTTCTGCTGCAGTCATCGGCCGCCAGGACGCTCCCGCCGCCTCATCTAAGGTCATCATTGGTTCTACCAACACCATCTCCGTTGCCGACTACGATGGCAAGTCGTTCAACATCGTGGGCAGTAACACCACCGAGGGCACTGGTCCCAGCTGGATGGCTTTCAAGGAGCCCAACCTTCTCTACGCTGTCAACGAGAATGCCTTCAACCTCCGTCTGTTCACTGTAAGTCACCTCTCTTTCTAATTTTCAGCAGTCTTTGAACTCACCTGCTTATTGGGATTTTTTATTGATTCTTTCCAGCTCGATACCACCAACAACGACCTCAAGCTCACTGCGGAGGCTACGGGCTCTGCGGGTGTCGTCTCTATTGCGTTCAACAAGGACAAGACTCGCCTTGTTGGCGCTGCCTAGTACGTTCCACTTTCTTCTGTTATTTTATTTTGATCCTGGCCCCTTGGAAAGTGTCATTGACTAATATCATTCAGCACTGGTGGAAACGTTGACGTCTGGGATATCTCTGACGCCAGCGCCCTCAAGTACATGAAGAACATCACTCTCGGTGGCGAGCTTGGTCCCAACAAGGAGCGTCAGACCAAGTCTTTCGCTCACCAGGCGGTTCTTGATCCCTCTGGTCGCTACTTCGCCATCTGCGACCTCGGCACTGACTCCATTTCCATCATCGACTCCCAGGATGACAAGTTCGAGGTTGTGTCTCGCAACAGCGTCTCTAGAGCTGGCTGTGGCCCTCGCCACGGCGCCTGGTTCCCTCAGACCGGAGGCACGCCTACTGCCTTCGTTGTCGCCTGTGAGCTCACCAACACCCTCGAGGTTTTTTCTGTCTCTACCACCAACGGCTCTTCCCTCTCCCTTACTCATACCTCGGAGCTGAGCACCTACGGCGCTGCTTTCCCTCCCGCCAACGCTACCACCGCTGCCGCTGGCGAGATTATTATCTCGGCTGATGGAAAGCACGCCTACGTCTCCAACCGCAACAGCGGTAATGCGACCGACTCCATCTCCCACTTCAAAATCGCTCAGCAGGCCGCCCCCGGCGGCTCCAAGTGTAAGCCCAAGGCCGGTGGCATCACTCTCGAGTTCGTCAATCAAATTTCCTCTGGCGGCATCAGCCCCCGCATGTTCAGCTTCTCCAAGGACGAGAAGACGCTCTTCTCTACCAATGTGCTTAACACTACGGACGGTACTGGAGAGGGTGTGTTGGCGCTCAGCCGTGCTGAGGACACTGGCACTCTGACTGCTGTGCCCATCACGTCCCTCCCGGTTACGAACTTTCTTTCGGCCGGCGTGACAATGGGTCCTACCTTTATCCAGCAGATCGTCTAAGATCTCAATGGCGTTACGTGTGCCTTATCACAGTCTTTCTTTGCGTATCAAGGGAATAGTTCCCTTTGGCAGGGTCTCTACGGCATTGGCTCTGGCGTTACACGGCCCGGCGTTGGAGAGTGGCAACCATGAGTTGGCTGGTACAGACATGAGACCGCTTGGTATTAGGGAGGTTCTTTTCGTTGCATTAGATACCAAAGTCATTAGGGTTAGTGACCTCGTTCTTCAAAAGTTTCAGCAATACAGATTCTTGATCTGAGAGTGTAACCCCTTCTTGCTTGCATACGTGATGTGAATGTGCTGGGTTTGGTGAAGTGGTAGTTGAGAAGGGGAGAAGTCGTGTAGTCAGTCGAGTCTTTCCGTGGTAACCTGGACGGTTCCCGTCTGCTGTTTGGCGGAGTAGCGTGTTTTCACTGTAGATTAGCGAGGTTCAGAGGCGCTATCCGCTAAAGATGCTGATTGAGCACTGAAGAACACTGTCTCCACCCCCTCAAGGACTAATGGTGCGAATGACCGCGAGGACTAGCATTTGACAATAGCTGCTTCACCACCATTATCGCACACTCTCCGCCCACGACGGTCCAGTCACGGCTGCATTCCCCGCCGAGAAAACAGCGACTGATTTAATTTTGAATCGGCGCCCTCAACTATCTCAAGAACTAGACGAAACCTAAGTAAAGGCGCCTCACTGGCTTCGCGCCCGCCGCCGCAATGTCGGACAAAATCACCGGCAAAAACCTGTCCTACGACACAAACATCCCGCCATTTCTGCGCGCTCTCCAAGCACAAGCAGCAGGGAACGGAGGCCCAGACGAGATCCTCTCGAAAAGGCGACGGGCGGGCAAGAAGCGCTCCGACAGCGAAGAGGCAGAAGACGCGCCGCTGGTCGTGGATGACGACGGCAATGTTGTCAATGTACGGGTGGACAAGGATGGCGGCGTCGAGGCGGATACTTTGAAGAAGGATGGAGTAGAGGAGGAGGGGGTAGGGAAGGATACCAAGGAGGAGAAGAGGGAGACGGAGAAGATTGCTGGGATTGGGGCGAGCAAGAAGAGGAAGGCTGGCAAGGTTGTTGGCGGTGATGCAGACGACGATACTGTCGCCGATAGGATCGTGACGAAGGGTGAGAAGAACGGTGACGACGACGAAGGCGCCAAGAAGAAGCCTGCTAAGAAGAAGGGGAAGAAGATTAAGCTTAGCTTCGATCCAGAATGAGGCGTGCTACGATCAGGGCTGACATCATCGTCACCATCAAATACAACCTAGACACGCGGGAAGAGTAGGGCACTTATCCGCAAGGGAGCAAGTCAAGCCACGAGAGCTGCGGCTCTTCTTCTTGTCCTGGCCGCCATGCGAAACAACGACGACCTGACTGGCGTCACACAACACTCGCGAGGAGTCATCAAACAGGAGTCGGGAGAAAAAGGTTCTATACAGCCACAACTTAAGGTAATCTACACATCTGCCATGCTCACTCTAGAGCAACTCCGATGCCGTCTCGCCTCCAGTCTTCTTGCTACGTGCTCGCCATCTGCGAAAGCATCTATTGGTATCGGTACTCGGGCTTGACGAAGTCGGCGAAGGTCTTGGGCTCCTCGTAGCCGTGGTGGTGGTCGTGACCGTGGTGGTGGTCATCAGTGGGACCGACGTACTCCATCTTGTAGACGGAGCCGCACTCGGGGCAGCGCTCGATAGGACGGTCGCGGGAGATCTATGCATGTTTGGTCAGGTTACGGAGCTCTTTGGGCAGCTCAATCGGGTCCATGGGCACGTACGGTCAGCCAGATGGTGACGTGGGAATCGACGGGGACACCGGTGCAGCCGAGGTACTGCTCCTCACCGGCGGAACGGACGGGGATGGGGTTCTCGACGGTGCCTGAATGATCAAGTTAGATTTCGTGCTCGCGCATGAATTTCGAAGAGGGGTCAATCGCGTACCCTTGCGGGAGGCATCGAGGGGGCGCATGTCGAAGATGTCGACGCCCTCCATCTTTCCGAGAATCTCGAGACGCTCGAGACCGGTGGACTGCTCGAGATCGGTGGGGATGCTGCCGGGCTTGGCACCAGGTCCGTGAAGGTCGTCCTCGCCCTTGATCTCTGTATTGTTGCAATGAAAATGATTAGCCTCTTGTCCTCATCTTCCAAGTCGTTCGAAATTGGTGCGTCGCTTCGATCGTACGACGCGGTCCGAAGGGATGCATGTGGTCGGGCTTTAGGCATTCCGGGGAACCGCGCCGGGACGGAAACGACGATAATTTTGAATCAATTGGCTCGATAGACCTTACCGGTGATGGTCTTGTAGGGCTTGGCGGGAGTAGAGGAGTTGGCGTCGCCTATTTGTGGCCGCGGATGGCCGTAGAGTCAGCGATAAGGGAACTTTCGGAATGGCTTCGCTGCAAGGCTTATTTTTTTCTTCTCGGGATTTGGGGGGGGCCTTCAATTGGGGTTCGTACGGCGGATCATGGAGGTCGCGAAGGTGCGTCTGGCGAGGGGAGCGACGGCCGCCCGACGGGCAGCCATGATGGCGGAGCGCTGCAAAAACATGGCGACGGCAATTGGGGTGGTAGAGAGGAGAGGTTCGTTGTTGTGACGTCGGGTTTGGGTGAAGAGAGAGGGATTTGTCGATGGCCTGATTTGATGGTTTGATGTTGCGGCTGTCGGGTAAGCTACGGGGAACCACCAGTCAGAGAGACCGCAGAGAGAGCACTGGCCAAGGTACTTGCCATAACCGGAATCGTAAGCGACAGAGCATCACGTGATGAACAGATTACCAAATGAGAGCTGGAGCATTACAGAGCCGTGATAGCTTCGTCCCCTTTCATCTGCGCCGCTTTCAGATGCAGGCTACAAAGGATGCGACTGGCACGATTTTTGACGTTATTCTATTTCAGAGGTATTCTTCTAAACTGAAGCTGCTCACCAGCTATTCTTGTTATGGAACTAGATGGCCCAGAACTGTGACGAGGTTGTTCTCCAGAAACCCAGCCACTTCTCTGAGAGCCTATCCGAGTTGGTCACCATCTCAATCTGCCATCCACGCTCAGTACCCAGATGGTCCAAGACCGCGACGGAGGTTTTCTCAAAAGCAAAGAAAAAAAAGCAAAGAAAAAGAGCAAAAAGGGAAAAGCCACTCCTCCGACCTGAATGCCTATCCGAGTCCGTTACCATCCATCCATCCAACTCTCATGCCAATTATGTCCTCCCAAAAAGATGCCTGTTCCCATAGAGATAGATACCCGAATCAGTCGCGTCTAGAAAGGGAATCCCAATTCGTCCAGCTTCTGAGCTTCCTCGCTGTGGTACCAGGGGAAGACAAATCCGTGAGAAACTCTTCTTCCAGTATCCTTTGGGAAAGGACTTTCTCCGACTGAAGCTCTGATGGCCTCCATGTTTGTGGGCTGGATCTGTCTTCTGATCTCTTCCGAGCCGACAAACATGTCAATCCATTCGCGATTGTCGACTGGGGTTTCGACGCTGGTAGTTTGGGGAATCGGAGCCGTTGCCTCGGTTGCCAAATCATCATCGTCGGCCATGCTCTTCTCGAAGCTGTCCAGCTGAAGTTCATCCTCCATTGGGGCATCCACAACCCCGAATGTAGATGTCCGAGTGTGAGCTCCATGTCCAATCTCCGCTTCAAGATCCATAGAAGGCTCGGTCTCCATAATGGGTCCGATCAAGGAATGGCTCGAGACCATGCTCTCAGCAGATGGTCTGCTTCGAACTGCAAGACGATCCTCTGTAAACAGTGGTAACTGACGCAGCCTCTTGGCAGGGCGCGAGTAGCTACCGTCGTGATCAGAGGTCGATGTATCAAAGGCCTCTAAAGAGTGGTGCGTCTTGCGTCGATCACTGACATGTCGTCTCTCTTCTTGTGTGGAAGATGTCTGCATCTGCATTTGCAACCTCAACGCCTCTGTTGGGTTCAAGGTAAGGTTAGAATCAGGCTCACACAGATTCTGCTGCTGCTGTTGCTGCTGTTGCTGCTGGAAAAAGGCCTCATGGAAACCTGCTCGAGGCTGTGCAATTCCTGCGTCAGGGGCGGCTGATCTGCTACCCGTCAATGCGGACGAATGGGTCTGCTCTCTGGCAGAAGATGCCTGCTTCCATCGACCTAAGTAGAAGTTGTAGTCACCGGTATGCTGTGCACCTCTGATCTCAGCTTGCCGAAGAATGCTGTCGTAAGCACCGTGGTTTTTGTCAACCATGACACGCCAGAATGACTTCATGGGGTCGTGTGGAAAGCGCTCCAGGGAGACACTCATCCTCCACATGAGGAAGTGAATAGGCGGCATTCCCAGCTCTCCGCGCTCATACATAGCATTAAGCCGGCTGAGGATGTTGCAGATCTTGTAGAGAACATAGTTGTCGCAGATCCCAGTCTCAGGCAAGTGTTCCTTTGCCATGAGTTGATTAGGATGGATTGTGTGTCCTGGATTGAACCACTGCGTTGTGAACTTGGCTTGCCGCAAGCTGCGCTGGTATCTCTTAAAGACATGCTCTGGGTCATCCTCTGATGCTGGGAGGGGTCCTTGGAGCATTCGCTGATGTCTGATCAAGAGATATTCTTGATAATCCCTTTCCACCTTCTCTTCGTTGACTGCCTCTGCAAACTTTTTCCATAAGGGGTTCCAGTATGAGCCGGTTTCGCTGATGGGTGCGACTGGGACACCCCGAAGCATGGGCGGGTTAAGGTAGGTCTTGCCGTCTTCACTGATTGTGAAGATGGCATTCACGGGGGTGGCTGTGACTTCAAGTAGTGCTGCCGCATCTTCGTTGTCTTTGGGGTTGGGCGCACTGGATGACTCGATTTGTGGGATCGCTGCAAGCTTTGTCTCCTTCTTCTTCAGCTTGCTTTTCAGGCGTGCGATCTCATCTGTCTTCGCAATGAGGGTCTCTTCGATCTCTTTGATGAGTGCTTGTGTCTGCTTGATGGCCTTGTCAATTGCCGGTTTAGGGATATCAGCGGCGATGCGTTCAGATTTAAGCTCTTTGAGCCAGTCCTCTTTGTATGAGATCCGGTTCTCAATGCGATCAATTTCGGCCTCAGCAGCTTGGATTCCTTGTCTCAATTCTGAGATAGACGTGAGCAATTGCGATCGCCGGACAGGCGCACTGTTGTACGAGGGCGAAGTCGGGTCCATCCTGGCTTCTGAGTCCTGTCTCCCGATTACGAGTTAGCAGTTGCGAGCCATTTGTAGCATGAACAATTTACTTACCCAAATGACCTCAGCGAATGACGGTAATTTCAAACAAATGAAGAATGGTCGGGGACGTGGCAAAAAGGAAACCCAATCTGTGTGTCGGAGAGTTCAAAGTACCTAGGTGCAAACGGTATGAGATGCTAGGTGAATAACGTATGCCAAACCACCCAAGCTCATAAAGATGCTTAGAAATGTTATCAATGAGAATACCAGTCGTTAGCTTGGAAGGTGAGGGCTGATTGTTGTGGAGTGCTAAAGGGAAAAGACCTGATGCGGTGTGCTGAGGAAGAATCAATCAGAGTGGTGCACCGAGGCTAGAGGATCCTGGTGGTGAATGGGCGAAGAAGCGGAAAGGTAGCGTAGGTTTTATAAAGGCCCCGGGAGAGGCTGTGAGAGAAGGAACGTAGATGCGAATGAGAGGAGACATCGGTACGGAAGTCACGAGTAGTGAGGGTAGGAACGACGGAATAGTTTAGGGAATCATGCCCTCAAACTGTAGGAGGCAAAGGAGACATAGTAAGAACGTCTACAAACCAGAGCGATCCTTCCGTTATACGATATATAGAGAGAGACAGCAAGAACGATCTTGTACAAATACGGTCCTTCCGTTCAGCGATCTATAGAAGGAGATGGCAGGAACGATTGTAAATCGGTGCGATCCTTCGTTTTAGTGATCTATAGACTGGGAGACAGTGAGAACGTTCTTAAAGCAGTGCGATCCTTCCTCTGAGCGATCTGTAAAGGAGATGGTAGGAACGATCTTAAAACTCATGCGATCTTTCCTTTCAGTGATCTATGAATGAATACAAATGCGATCTTTCCTCCTAAGCGATCTGTAAGGTAGACACGCAGGAACCCTTCGACTGATTATGACCTTTCCTTTGAGCGACCTCTAAGAAGGAAGATGACAAGGTGCCTACGGTGAGATGGTCTCTACTCAGTAAAAATGAATCTACTGAGGTGACAAAGGGAACAGGAAGCTACGCATCTCCTATTTGTATCTCATTTCTGTTCATCTATGTCAGATCTATTTAAGCTTACACTGGTCTAACCGAACCCTTCATAAGTCTACGCTGTAGCATCTCATTATAGCTTTTGGCTTATTTTATCGCCATCTGTTCTCCGCTCTCGAAGTATGCCGTCTTGATATCCGGTGGCGACATGTATGCCTTCAGGACTCCACATCTTACAGACCAATACCCCTCGACCGTGGCCGGTCCGGGGAAATGATGCCTCCTGAATCCACCAGCCATCGTCTTTCATCACGGCTTGATCGACATTGACATGAACGACAAACTTGTACGTTAAGCTGGCCGCGGTGCCTAGACTCCATCCGAGGCCAACATGGTTGCCTATCATCAATAATCCGTTGCGATCGGACTCGAACGCATGGACAGCCACATGCGAATTGGGATCGTCCGCTGGAAGAGGGCCTTTAAGACGATATAGGAGAAGCTCCTTCCTCTCCGAAACCGGCTTTCCCTCATTGTAAGCCGTCAAGTCGACTTTGTGCATGTCAACGATGGGAAACGTCGTCTGGCCAACATCCGGAAACATGGCTTTGATTTCTTCCACATCGACCGCCGGTGCGAACGGCCAATCCTGCGGTGACTTGGTGGACAGAATTTCGGCAAAGCGTTTATGCGGTGGCTCTTCTTGAGAAACGATTCTGGCTTCCTCTGGCCGTTTGAAGGTGCATATGCAACTGAAGCAGATATCACCCAAAAGCCCTTCGGCATCCTCCAACAAGAAGTTGTCTTCATAGTGGCCGCGTTTGCTCGTCTCTTTTGGTTGGCGCACAGTCACCAGGCGGGAGCAGAATGTCCTGCTAGTCGATAGAACAGTGACCTCATATATGAATGGCCTGTCTGACTTGGCGGCAGCCGAGAAGACTCCTTGAATGGCCTTGCTACAATGTTAGCGACGGTTCCATCTTCCACTCAAGGCAGCAGATTCCAGTCTCACGTGAAGCCCAAAACCCCCGGACTGCGTTCCGGATCCTTCAGGTTCCTCTTCTTTCACGGCGCGGCTTGCAGCTAGCGGCGCCTGACAGTAAACATGCCCTCCGTATGCAGCTCGAGGATCTGCCTTGGACCCGCGGCCTTTGCCGCCGACAAGTTCTGACCCTGGTACCCAAGCTGGGTAGAGACTCATGTAACGCTTGACGATGCCACCTGTCGTTGTCGTATGGTTCGATGTAGTTGGCAGCAGGGCCAGTGCCATGACATCGTCGAACAAGAGTTTGGACATAGCAAGTGGTGGGGCTGCCGAACGAAGACAACAAGGGAACGAGTAACGTCGATCTGGGTGGATTGGCGAAATCACGGAATACGACGCGACGAGCGATGCTTGAACGGTTTTTGAAATAAATTCTGCCTGCCAAAAAAACGACGAAACTTTGGAGCTCGGAGAAGGGAATAACTGGTTTGAAGTTCAGCTTCGGGAGTTCAGCTTAGATTTCCCCAACAACGCTCTGAGACCTGGACGAGATTGTACCTCGGGACGAGGAGCTCTATGGCGGGGACCGTGGCCGTGCGGAGCTGCCCTTCTTCCTTCTCCAGAACTTCAGCACGCCAGAGTCTCGGTGCGGAGCCGAGGCACCCCATGTGAGGGGAATCCCCCAGATGATTCTTAGGGGGTTCGGCTAGTCTCTTGCGCCGAGTCCACCGCTCCATTCCAAGGATCGCCGCGGCACTTTGTGGGGATGCCGGCTTTGGTCTCCGGGGGATACCCATAATTCCTCGGCCTTGGATACAACATGAAAACGACGGGTGCCGGTAATTTTGGGCCGGTCACAACGGCGTACAAGCGGCGGGCGAAATCCACAACATGTGGCTGATGTAAGACGACCTTGAATGCTTACTGCGTACAAGTACCTTAGGTGTGACTGGGACAAGACGCTGTCCCACCCAGCGCTGCACACAGCTGACTGAAAATGGGCCCTGCTACTACCATACATACATACCTCACATACCATGGCCTCTGGAGGTCAAAGCCGCTGCTACCCTCCTCTCAGACCCTGCAGGAGAATGGACATGTCCCACCTGTTTGCCCGAATTTCTGCTGACATGTTGACCCTTGGGGCCGTCGGCGACCCGTCTTCTCAACTGACCGAGAACGAACTTCAGCTGATTTCTAGTCGGGTTGCCTGTCTGTCACCTTACACATGCAGTGTGGCGCCGCTTTGGCCCCAGTATCCCCTGCGAAAGCGGAAAATTTTGACAGGTGATGGGAATTGTGGCCGCTTGGCCCTGAAGGGTAGTTGAATACTTGGTCTATAGGGGTAAGTTTAAACTCCCTACCAGGTAGCGTGGGTCTGGCCAGGGTAGAGCAGTGACTCTCAATGGCCAAATTTGTGTTCGACGTGCACAAGAATCTCGAAAGTAATGCTGCTGATGTAATCTCGAAAAGCACGGGCGAAGATACCTGACAAGGGGGTTAAACTTTGGCCTGATACCGTAGTAAGGGACTGAGTCCATCTTGGGCATCGCTGACTCGAAAAAACTGGGATTGTCATGCAACATGTCGCAGCTTGCGGGCGTTCCATTCTTTCAAGCCCTAAGCGATGAGTTAATTTTTCCTAGCAAGTCAAAGTCATGGAAATATTGGAGTGTTGTAAAGGCAAGCCAGCAGCGCAGAGAGAATTCATCTAAGAAGATCGATCACGAAAAGAGTACCTAGTAAAGAAGCATTGGTTCGGAAACCATCCATCCACAACTATTTAACTTACTCGGAGTCAAGTTGCCTCTTGCTGACACCCATAGCATTAGTTCTGTTCCCAAGATGGGTAACCCGAGATGGGGTATACCCTGGCACCTCTCTGATGTCTTTGCCGCAACTAACAGGCGCCTAGCACGACTAGTTTTGTTGCTCTCACCAAGCCTTGAATGTTCATTCGTCACGAAGCCCATTGGCTAACAAATACTCCCTCAACCCAAGAACCTTTAGCTCACAATCACTCTCAGCGAAAAAAATATATATATATTTTCTGGGCCACGCGTGACCCTCCCACTTCAAACTTAGCGGCTCAATACCACCAGCTTTGCAAGCAAGCGACAAGCAGCCATCCGCGGGTGAGCAGGCTTAGGGAAGGGGGGGGGGGGGGGTACGCATTACCGTACGATGCCATTCCGGGCATCCTGCATTCAAAGTCTCGCCTCGCCCCCCTCTCAGCTGTGCTGGCAGCCGATGAGCGGCCTCGGAACAATTCTCGTTGGATACGCAGCGGCGAGCGCTGCATTATGCACCCCGTGGTGATTGACAACAGGCGTAAACGGTGAACGCACGTACACGATAGGAGAGCCAAAACCCGGGGCATGGTTGGACGAGGCTGGTTTCCCCGCAAAGTGTGGTAACAAATGGGAGTTTGCTGGCGTCACATCGGTATTGTGCTTGGCTGCTCCTTTTGTGGTGTTGCATCCCGTGTCGCTTTGACCGTTCGAGGCTCTCGGTACTCGAGAAACTACAGGGAGGCGAGCAAGGAGACTGATGTTTTTGACGGGGAGGCAAAGGAGCAGATCATCTGTCTCAAGGTATTTTTTCCTGACATGCTAAGGTAGTCATCACATTGAGCTCGGGTATTGTAGACCTATCACTGGAGACTTAACTCTCGCAAAAAGGACCTGACGACCTATGACGGATCTGGCAACATGAAGGGTGTGGGCTCAATTCGACAGCGGCACAAGTGAAGAATGAGGCCCTCGAGCTAACAATCACCTTGAATGCTGCGATATCGCAAGCGTGGTCAAAAGGGGCGGCGAAAATCCAGCAGAGCGGGTGACCCAAGCCACTTGCGCGAGAAAAAGAAACGTTGGGCTCTTGGTGCCAGATCCATGAAACTTGACCGGAAATTCAGGAATTGCACTTGCTTGCAACATCGGAGATATTGAACCAAACAAATTCGGATAGTAATCACTCAGAAGCACTGGAATGTGAGAAACAAGGCCAAAACCTGCCGAGTGGCGAACGATTTGGTGGTAAGCATCCAGACTGTAGAAACTAAGTACCTGGCTGGATCATGGATGTGTCTGCAGAAACATAGCCTGTATCTTGTCTTGAATCTTCGGTGAGATCCTCCCACGACTCCCAGCTTCCACTGTTGACGCGTGCCTTTGCCCAGCTTCCGAGCGTCCATTCAATAGGCAAACGGAGAAGAGGTTAGCAAACCAGTCGGTCAAGAAAGTGGTCTAGGTGTTCTCTTATGCAGCTTGCCACATCGCCTCTGGGCCGGACATGACCACCCGGTCCGGGGTGCAGGAAATATGTCTCTGCCTCCCTATTTGTCCGTACCGTAGCATCTATCCGTCCGGGCTTGACCTCTAACTCCAGGTCGGATTGTTTTTTCCAATGCACAGCAAGTGCGTAAAATAGTAGCTCGATTCCTGATCCATTCTTAATAGTTGAACATAGTCTTCTTAGTGTCCAGAGCACCCTGGTTGTGATAAACCTTGACGCGCTTCAAACACGGATGCAATAAAGCCACGGAAGAACCACAAGCATATCTCCACATAGTCCGACTTCTTTTTGCTCCTGTATACCACGCTGCACAGCATGCTTACTTTACTCAAACATACACAACTACTTTTCCTCCGTACCCAACGCATGTCCGTCCATTTGCCTGAAGGCTGAAAACGCCCCAAATTTCCCGCCCATGTCACTCGCATCTTCCCCCCCCCTGGACCCCAGACCGGGGTTGGTGCAGGACCGGGGGTGACCGGCGCATCCCGACCCTCTCATTCGCCCCTTGCCAGCTTTCCCCAGGTCTCTGCCCATTCCTACCTCCGCGACCCCTGTCGACTCTCCCTCACACGCCCACACATCAGTCAAACCACGACTTTTTGTTTTTCTTAGCCCGTCCTGTCAATGGGTAGCACGGTTCCCGGGCTCTCGAAAAGAGAGGAGAAGGGGGGTGGAACACCAGCTGGTCACGTTCAAAGTTCGAATGGGCGGTTCCGCCCCGTCGGTTTGTGCTGATCTCCCTTCTCACGCTGTGCCTCTCTCCCCGCTTTCTATGCACTCGCCTGAGGACCCGTCTGACGGGCAACGTGTATGGAGTACGTACGGAGCAGAGCAATAAATAGAAGACGGGGTCTCGTGCTTGTCTTGCAGCTGCGGACGGCATCAGCCTTTTCGCCTTTCCCGCTCTCCCCACTCTCTGTCACGCATCCTGCTAGGAAGGTCGCTCGCACTTAGCGTAAGGGCCCTTTTCTCGTCATCTACCTTGGCTGCTCCACTCCAGCATCATCTTCTTTTCTTATGCCGCTTTAACCTTTCGACGGACTTTGTTGATTCTCTGTAGGGTCACGTCACCCGGCCCCCATGTTGGTAGCGGACGGTAGTTAGATCGGGCGTGGGAGTGGCCGTGGGATATGAACCGGCTCTCCGAGCATTGTTTTCTACCAACGCGACTCAGTCACCCGGAAGAAGCGAGTGGTCGTCTCCTTCCATCTGAACGAGAGGTATCAGCAGAGACAACAAGATAACGATGGTGGTTGAAGTCGGTTCGTTGAACCGCAATGCGTTGGAACCCTTCAAGACATGGCGCCTCGGAACTTCAGCTTGCGAAGACGATGGCGGTATCAACATCGACCCCCATCTCTTCTCGCCACAGGCTTTGAGACGATGTGCCAAGCATGAGTCCAACTGCCCTTCAGCTTCAATCCTCAGAACCACCTTGGTTACCACCAGTGCCCATGGCCCAGAGAATGGATCAAAGATATTCGCAACAACATCCGCTGAAACTACCCAGACGAACTCAATCACCTCTTCACCCACAAATCCGCCGACAGTACCACCTTTCGTCTTCCCTCCCAGCCAGGAGAAGGCCAACTTCGTCTTCTCGAGCCAGCCCTCATCTTTCAACAGAGTAAAGCGTGCTAGAGCCGAGTCCGATGTTGACGGCCCATACACAGCCGGGCTGAGTTGTAAAAAGCGACGCTTGAGGCTTCATCTCATAACAAGTCGACTTTCTCAGCCCTACTCATTACCCGCGACACATATCATCAACCGTGAAGCCGGTCCCTTGGGCGACAAGCGTTTCGTGAAGCTGGCTGCTGTAGCCACCTCGCCCGAGGTCGGCAAACAGGGCCTACTTCGAGAGAGCTCCATCATGTTGAGAGCGGCAGTACTCAATAGGATTCGGCTACGTGTCCGAAATGAGGCGACACAGCGCGGTGATATCGGTATTGCCGTGACAGCTGCCAATGCGGCTGTACTTCACCACGGCCAGCAACTAGCCACAGGAGCTAGGTTTGTTGCACAATCGCCAGCACACCTAGAACACCGACAGCAGCCACTGCCAGCAAGGGTTGTTCTGATGCGACCCGGAATCTCTCCAGGCACTCCTCATCCAACGAATGCCCTGTCTGCCCAGGCGCAAAGAAAGCCATCGCCTCCATGGACGCCTCAATCAACTCGGATACAACCTGTATCGCCGAGGTTAAACCCAACCCGGTCACCAGTTCTAGCTCCTTCAAGCACGATGCTGGACGAAATGGAGGATGACGGACTGCTGGCGTTTCCCACATCAACACACGAGTGTTCCTACGCGTGGGCCGACGACGACGATTTGGAAGATGTGTACTCTGACTTTGGTGCCATCTTCGGAGGATCTGCACAGGCTGGTGAGACTGACGACGATGGCAGCTCCTACGAAGAGTATCTCGATGAGCTGGATGGCATTTCTTGGGTCGGCGGCAGGTAGTGCCGTTGGATGACGGGTATAGGAGAACCAATTTGGTTGAATTTCGAATCCAAGACAAAAGTAAAGCGGCTAGTAGCACCGGAATGGGTGGGCTGGGTTGGAAAAGAAAGAAAAAAGCAGCAAGAATCAGATTTGGCCTATCAATGCGTAGGCGACATTCGAGGAGCATATTTTCGACCAAGTTTGAGGCCACGGGATGGCCAGTTGGCTCTGTCTAAGGACATATGAGATGAGCGCCGTAAGCAGGTCACTCACTGTCATTGTTGGCCTGGCAGGAAAAGAGAGGATTGGCCATCATGCGCTATTGGATACGGCGCCATAAAGCAGGCGTCGAGTTACAGACTCAGCCTTCATGTAGATGAAAGTGAATAAGAAGAGAAATAAAAGACTCACTCAAAGGCAAAACTTGCCTGCCGGAGTCCTATGCCTCAACCTGCCTTCAATTCCGTCCATGATTCCGCCCGGAATTCCGACGTCCGAAAGTCCGGAGAGTAAGAAGAAGTCACATTGGAATCAGGCTGAAAGATGTGATTCGTGTCGAGGGTTCTTCGTATCGAGGGATTTTGTATTGATAGCGGGGTGCTACAGAGAATGAGAACAATTCTCGGTGTTACAACGGAATCGACGCAGAAGGAACCCCCACCAGTTCCGATGGTCGGCCCGGTCGGACATCTTCCCGGGCCCCGCCGTGACGTTGGGCCTGGGGACGATGGCGGGGACACTGGGGCGGGGTGATTTAACCCGGGAAGCTGAAGCAGGACATTGTCAGGCCCATTGCCCAACATTTTGTTCAACATTCAGGATTCAGACACATGTTCAAACGCAGAATTGTAGCAATGAGCAATCAACTTTTGGACACAATTGTGATCGGAGCCGGCTGGTCCGGCGCCGTTGCCGCCCGGGAGCTTGCTAGCAAGGGTCGCAAAGTGTTGGTACTTGAGGCTAGAGACAGAATTGGAGGACGTGCGAGTACGTGGGTGAAGGGAGATGCCAAGATTGATGTTGGATGCAGCTGGATTCACGGCTACAAAGAAGGAAACCCCGCGAGATATATCGCCCAAGACTTTGGCGTTGTGAGTTTGACATGGACGCGATTGAGTAATAGAGATCAGAAGCTAATGAGATGGAGTAGGCCGCTCACTTACCCAAGGCTGCTGAGGGTGTGATCTACGGCCCAACTGGTGCGTGAGACTCTGGCCCATACCGCGATATTCTGTATTGATAAAGAACAGGCCGTCTCTCAAGTTCCAACGCCGACAACCTGCGGGCGTCCCTTGGTGCTGCTCAGGCATCATTGAAGCTCCCGCACCCAGCGCCCTCTCCATCTACATCGCTCGCATCCGCCCTTCTGGCTGATAACTCGGCTCTTTTCTCAGCTTCTGCATCCCCTGATCCTTCCTCAGACGTCAACCAAACCAGCCCTGCTGACCCGACGCAGGTAGCGACGCAGCCCGCATCAGGTTCATCTCAGAAGGATCTGGCAGCCGGCCTTGCCCGCTCCCTCGAGATTCCCCTGGGACTCAAGCTCGAGAAAGCTTCTCTGAAGTGGGCTGGATGGGAGACTACCACCTCATTTGGAGGTTCTGATGCCGCCCCTGAGGGAGGCTATGAGGCCTTGGTCAAACAGGTCCTTGATGACGCCAAGGCCAACGGCACTGAGGTGAAGCTGAGCACAATTATTACTGAAATCTCACAAAGTCAAGACGGAGTTATAATTGTCGACGCCAAGGGCAACAAATTCACGGCAAAGACGGCCATTTCTACCATCCCGCTCGGTACCCTCAAGACTCTACCTGAAAGCACCTTCAACCCTGCGCTGCCGCCGCGCCTACAGGAGGTAATCAAGGGCACCCACGTCGGTGTCCTGGAGAAGTTGCTGCTCCAGTACCAGACAGCTTGGTGGCCCGAGGCCGACAAAGCAGGATCCTACACTTTCTTGCCCACATCTACGAAGCCCGTGACCGAAAGCTCTACCCCCGCCGAAATCTTCGAGGCGTCGACTCTGGTCTGCGCCAACTTCGCTGGGCCGTCTCTCCCTGGCCCTAGTCCGACTTTGCTGACGTACCTTTCCGAAACTCCTGCTACCGCATTGCTCCGCTTCGATCAGAAGGAAGTTGCGACTGCCTACCACAAGTTCCTTGTCTCTCGCTTCAAGCCATCATCTGAGCCTGCGGAGCCGATCGAGACCAATTTGACCAACTGGTTGACAGACGAGTTCTCCCGCGGTGCCACGACCACGCCGTCAATTATTTCAGAAAATGGGGAGCGAAGCCCACTTGACTTCAAGGAGCTAAGCAGGCCCGTATGGGATGGAAGACTCGGATTTGCCGGTGAGCACACAGAGATGGAAAACCGTGGAAGCGTGGCTGGTGCAGTCGTCAGCGGCTACCGTGAGGCAGAGCGTGTTGGCAGACTTTTGAGACTGCTGGACGAGAACGCCAAGTTGTGATTGGACCGAGGAAGGCGTCGGACAGTTTCTCATAGGCAAGCTAGATTTGGGATGTGCTATAGGCTTAGACGGGGGCTGGGAATTCTTTTCTAGGAAATGAATCAGACGATTGAACCCGACAAATGTCTTCGAGGACGCTCTATGCCGTTCATCCTGAAGCGGCCAGCAGCCTCGCTGCACGATCTTTGGCAATATCACACATTGCCTACTATCTCGTTAGAAGAATGTCTCGAGGATCCATGTTCAAGGATGCAACTTGCCTGGATGGCGGCGATTTCCTCGAGAGCCAAGTCACCACGCGAGATACGAGCACGCATGTTTTCCATGATTTCCGGCCGACCTCGACCGTTGACGAACACCACGTAACGTAGGCCTGGGAACTTTTCCTCGTACTCGGCGTTCAGCGCAGCCAGCTCTGTGGCGTCTCCACTCTGAAGCTGGGCTTGCTCTGCGGCGGACTGAGCACTCTCAACCTTCTTGGCCCCGAGACGCGGGTGTGAACCGATGATTGAGTGTAGCTGCGCCTTTTGTGTAGGGTCCGCCGTAAGAGCCTCGAAGATCTTTTGAGCTTGATTGATGAACTCGTCGTAAGACTGGAAAGATGTTGTGGAAATAGAGGGCAGAAGACAGGCGTGAATCGCGGGGCTCGGCTCGAAGAGCGCATCTAGGACCTTGGCCTGCTGCTCCACGGGGAGGGAGTTGAGACTCTTGACGTCAGGTAGAGAAGCCATGTTGAACTGCAAATTGCACTTCGCTGTTTTGAATTATGATGAAGCAATGAGTAAATGACCGTTCATGACCTGCTTATTCTTTAACATCGCTTTTGAGGCAGTGGAAGGTGCTTGATGAGGTACCTTAGGTATTACCTTACCTAGGTAAGGTAGACCTCATGTCAGCGATACTTCACGGTGCGATAAGATAGAGATAAGATAAGTCAGGACGGGAGGCGCCGATGACGGGACATTCCATCAAAACTAGCCACACGTGATGGAGTGGCTCGTGCTCACCAGCTGCGAAGCAAGACCCACACTGCCTTGGAACAGCAGGTGCGGCAAGGCTGAAGTTTTGTTTTGGAAGGGAAAAGTTGACGCGGACGAACTTTGTGACGGCTCATATCGCTACATTCGAGACAATGCTGTGCGCCAGTAGGTTCAAATACTCGGGAGTATCTTGCGCAACTGCTGACTGCTTTCTCAGTTTCTGGAGAAGCTCCTCAGGAGCCCGTTGCCTCAAAGAAGTCTGGTACGTGTTTGCGCCTGGTCGCGTCAATCCCCAAACTGCTGACTGTAATTAGGCACCGTCTTCGAGAAGCGATTGATCGAGAAATACATCGAGGAGAATGGTACCGAACCTGTTACTGGCGAAGCCCTGACGATCGAGGACCTTCTTCCTTTGACACAGTCTCACGTTGTCCGACCCCGACCCCCGACGCTCACTTCGATTCCGGCCTTGCTTGCGACATTCCAGAATGAGTGGGATGCGCTCGCTCTCGAGACGTTCAACCTGAAAGAACAGCTTGCGAGGACACGAGAGGAGCTTGCCACAGCATTGTACCAACACGATGCCGCGGTCAGAGTAATTGCGCGTCTGTCCAAGGAGCGAGATGAGGCTAGAGAGGCGCTTTCCAAGGTCAGCGTCAGCGCTGGAGCCACAAATGGGGATGCCATGGCTATTGATTCGGCCGAAGGTCTTCCGGAGGAATGGGTTGACAAGGTCAACGCAAAGCATCAAGAGTCAGTCTTCCAGAAGGCACAGGCATGGGTAACTCTAGAACGGTTCACTAACAAGCCACAGACTCTCCAAGAGCCGCAAGAAGCGTCCGGTCCCTGAGGGCTGGGCTACGTCCGAAGAGGTCGCCCTGTTGACCACTGTGGCATCCACTTCAACACCGGTTTCGAATGCCTCGTCGCTGGCCACCGAAGGAAGTTATGCGGCCATCAGTGGTCGTTCAGGAGATGCTGCGATATACTCTATTGAGGCAGACCAGGTCGAACGCCAAGTTGCGGTCAACGAGCCGGTCATCGACTCTGTGTGGACTGGTAGCAAGCTTATCTTTGCCACGAGCAAGGGATCAGTGAAGGTCTTCGAGAGTGGTAGCGAAGTTGCGTCAATCTCTGAACATGCAGGTCCTGCAACATCCTTGAGCCTTCACCCTACCGGCGACCTCCTCGCATCCGTTGGCTCGGACAAGAGCATTGTCTTGTACGATCTCAACACCCTCAAGAAGATCAGCCGTGCCTACGCCGACTCTGGTAAGCGACTAAAGCCCCCAGTACTCCTATGCCAGCTTGCTAACCTGCGCAGCCCTCACATCATCTGCTTTCCACCCCGATGGACACCTCTTCGCGGCTGGAACCGTTACAGGCGAGATTAAGCTCTTCATGACCACGACGTTGGAGGTTGCGGCTGCATTCGACCTCGGCGCAGCTGTCGAGGCGCTGACCTTCTCAGAAAACGGCTTCTGGCTTGCAGCCACAGCCAAGGGTCAGAGCTCTGTAACCATCTTCGATCTGCGCAAGGAGGGAGATGCTGCAAAGGTCAAGACACTAGAGACCGGGGGCCCAGTGCAGTCACTTGCTTGGGACTACAGTGGGCAGTTCCTGGCAACCGCGGGTGCCGGCGGCATTACTGTCCAACAGTACACCAAGAGCTCCAAGAAATGGTCAGAGCCCCTCAGAACGTCGGTGGCTGCATTGTCGGTCCAGTGGGGTGCTGGGGCCAAGCAGTTGGTTTCCGTCAACGAGGAGGGCGTTGTTTCAGTGTTTGGAGTCAAGCAAGAATAAGCAGACATGCATGTCTCGCGATCTGTATTATAAGTAATGGGGACAGGAGAGTCGCATCTAAAATGATATCCGAAGTCTTGGGCTCACAAGGTATGAAGTATGAAGTACTCTGGTCTTGCAAGAAAACCGCGAAGGAACAAATAAAAACCATCGGGATCCCCATATCAGTCAAGTGAAAGGCTTGCTGACTCTGGTTAAAGATGTCTCGAGACACCTTGAGGCAGTTGCTTATTCACAAGGTAGTGTGCTGGGGCGAACGTGCATCCTGACATTTCTGTCCCTTTTCGGGACTATGACATAATCATTTCAGGGACATATTACCGTCTCTACCTTACCTGGTGAGCTTGCATGGAGACAATGGGGAATGCAGGGCACCGTCGCTTAGCAAATATCCCGCCGCAATTACCTCACCTTACCCTGAAAGTCCAGAGGTGCTCCTGCCTTATCGGCGGTGTTGCCCCCCTGCAGCGCCTGCACTGTGCGAGCTTATCTAAGGCTGAAGCGCCAAACCATCCGTCGCTCTTTCCGCTGAATGGCCTAGACCCGCACTTGACCTTTAACCGCCACCAACCTAACAACACCACAACCACGACGGGCAAGTCCAAGGACCTCGCCTCTTCCTTGTGCTCCGAAGCGCCCTCGGATTTTCTTCCTTCTTCCACATCTCGATCACACCAACAGCTTCCACGGGATGGTCGCTTCACCATTGTGCCCGTCGTAGGAGGTTCACTTCTACTTTACGTCTCCCGATACGACCCGACCTTCACGACTACGACTTTCCTCCCGCACGCAAGACACCTACCCGAGGAACAGACGGTTTGTGCGTAGCCACATGCTGACTGGAGCTGCCGGACTTAAGCTAATTATTTCTCCAGCGCCAACCCATATTGGCTCGATAGACATAATATGAGCTCTGTTTCTCCACCATCTTCTCCATCGACGACGTCTTCTTCGGCTCGGCTCTCTACGATTCCACCTTCTCCCTCAATATCAGCTTCTCCATCGACTGCGTCCTCTCCGTCTCGGCTCTCTACGATTCCACCTTCTCCCTCAATATCAGCTTCTCCATCGACTGCGTCCTCTCCGTCTCGGCTCTCTACGATTCCGCTTTCTCCCTCGGTAGCATCTCTTTTGCCTGAGCAAGAACTTTACGACGATAGCGACATCGAGGCCGCCTACCAAGGCTACATTCCCGAATCCTCCTCCGACGTGGTCGATCACCGCTCAAGCATATTCGACTCCGAAGCCGATGCGCAGGTGGATTGGGACCCTGAGTCTGATTCACAATCACAGGCACAGCCTTCAGAGTCCGATTCAGAGTCCTTGATGTCACTCGAGATTGACCCTCACGATCCGCTATTTAACGACTCGGACCCTTTCTCTCCCGATCTTGCCGACGAGCTTGAGCTTGCGCTTCTTGCCGAGATGGATCAGTTGCCACAGCTCCGCGAACAAAGGATGCCACCTCCAGGTGGCCGAGATGAAAGCATGCGAGGGCAACGTGGAGGCGGTGCCGCCCTTCATAATGGCTCAGGCGATGTTCTTGTGGATCTGGAGCTGTACTTCGAACAGGATAGAAACGAGAGGAGACCTCAAAACAACCAAAACGGCCCTGCCGATGTCATCGACCTGACCAACGAACCCGACAGCCCTATCCAGAGACATGCTCCTCGACCTCCGACGAATCCCAGAAGACAACATTCCCAAGGCAGGAACCCGCCGTCTTTCTCGCGGAGTGACAGTAGCATTCTCGCCGGCAATGCACCACCCGTCATCGACCTCACCGACGACTCACCCGAAGTTCCGAGAAGACGTACGCATGTACCGCCGCCTCCACAGCCACCTCGTCAGCGCGATCGCAGTCGACAGCCGGTCGGATTCATGCTGAACCCGAACGGAAGTGCATTCAGTGGGCTAGCAGCCGGGTTAAGGCGCCACCTGTATCCTTTCAGGCTCTACCCTGGTCCTGAGGACGAGGTACAGCTGCTCGGCATGTTGCACAATCGTATTAATCAAGGAGGAGACCTGAACAACCCCCTTGGCAATATCCAACTTCAATACGAGCACGGCGCTTTCGATCAACGCGCCGAATCACCTAAACCAGTCCACCAAGCTCCGCCTCCCCCTAGACCTGGATATACGAGGGACACCGCCTCTGATTTAGTTGTGATTTGTCCAGCATGCAACGAGGAACTGGCTTACGACCCTGACGTGCCT